TTTTTTTTGCGTATCAGAATTTGTTATTCACGATACTTCAAAACCATAAGCCCCATATATTACAGATGCCTAAAAAGAAAACAGGAAACACAATCTATAAGTCATGGATATCTTTTCGTGATGCAACGAAATGAAACAAATTAAATAAATTTTGCTTGGAAAGGGAGATACAGATACCAAAACCGAAACATACATCGTTCTCAAGTGTTTAAAAACGGGAAACCGAGGTAATACAATATGTTATTCGTGATTTTGCAGACAGAGGTGGTCGTATCAATGGAATGCATTTTTCCTGTCAGTCTATATCTGAAGCCAGTGCGCCGAACAACAATAATATACCATCATCTGGCCAGGAGAATATAAATTTACACCTAGCAGATTATCTTGAAATCTCACTGTTTTCGTTACATGCATTACATGTTGTAGATTTGACAAAATAACATAATTCCGCGTGCCTAAGTAATTTTCATACAGAGTTTTAAAATGCCGTATAAAATAGCTGAGCTAGAGTACAAATCCGGATTCTCTCTTCTCGAATGTCAGCCAATGACATTACGTTTATTATAACCAATCAAAGCTGTTCATTACTGACCAATCACTACACAACGTTTAATTATTTCTAACCAATCAAATCATTTCTATTATGCACACTGAATAATATAAATAATGGCCGCCTCTTTTCAAACACAATATCCTTCGTCTTGAAATAGAAGAAATATTGCATTAACATGGCACGTACCAAGCAAACCGCACGTAAATCTACCGGTGGTAAAGCACCACGTAAACAGTTGGCAACCAAAGCCGCCCGTAAGAGCGCACCAGCCACCGGAGGAGTGAAGAAACCTCATCGTTACAGGCCAGGTACCGTGGCTCTTCGTGAAATCCGCCGATACCAGAAAAGCACCGAGCTCCTTATCCGTAAACTTCCATTCCAGCGTCTAGCACGTGACATCGCTCAAGATTTCAAAACCGACCTTCGTTTCCAGAGCTCCGCTGTCATGGCCCTGCAAGAAGCCAGCGAAGCCCACCTTGTCGGTCTTTTCGAAGACACCAACTTGTGCGCTATCACGCCAAACGTGTCACCATCATGCCCAAAGACATCCAACTTGCCCGCCGTATCCGTGGCGAACGTGCTTAAATCGTATGCCTTGGTGTACACAAATCAAACGGCCCTTTTCAAGGCCACCTCATCCTCCAAAAAGAGAACTACCGTTGTGTTGTGAGTTTGGTTAAGTTTCAGAGAATAAACTCTTAGTTTAAAATTCTCCAAGTATAAAAGAAAACACCCCAAAATAAATCTACGTTGTTCAGTTG